TATATATAAAAAAGTTTCTGCATAACTCCAGCTTCCTTATTCCAGAGAGGAACTACAGTTTAATAAATAGGTAACAGACAGGGGTTTCTCTTCACAGTCTACTTCCTTCTGAAATCTCTGGCTTCATGGGATGCCAGATTTTCATAACCAGTTCATGAATTCTCAGATAAGTCTACAAATTTCTCTACAAATTCCAGCTTCTTGATCTGCTTTTCTTTTTCCCTAAAATGAAGTGTTGCGGAAGCTGGAAAACCCATTACTACTGAAAGTGGACTGACACCTTCTCCACACATTAGCATTCTCGTGTGTGGAGCACAAAGTTCTTCTGAAGCAATGCTTACCGAGTGCTTTGAGAACTCTGGACAGAAGTTGCATAAACACATTATGAGTATTTGCTGTCTAGTCTCTACCAAATCAGAAGACCAGGATCTTCTATGAGTGCTACAGCAGCTAATATTCAGGCAAAATCCTCTTCTCTTCATTAAACAACTCACAGCACCCAAAGCAGTGTGTGAGTGATAGTCAATATACAATAGCTTGTTGTATACCTACACTTGCTTGCTCTATTTGCCACACTGTCAGCATCCAATTCCCTACTTTGTCCAATTCTGGCATGTGGAACACACAAAGGATGCTATATAATATTATAGTTCACTTGGCAATATGCAGATACCACATTGTCAAGCTAAGCTGGAAAGAAAGGCAAGGGCACAACAAAGCTAAGATATAGCATGCTTATTAATCGAAGAAGTTTATTTATAGTGAAGAGAAATAAGAATGATGATTCTTCCATAGGTTACAGGGAAGAAGGAAAGGAATTCATATGCAGTGATTGTGTGGCCAGGGCAGGGAAGAAGAAAGTTAAAGGGGGAAAAGGAGTTTGGTTCCTGGTTTTGCCCTCCCTATTGGCCTCAGTTTTAACTTTTTAGTTGTCTGTTACCATGATGGTGATGACCTTTGGGTTGAGGGGTGCTAGATCAAAGGAGCTGGGAAGTCAAGAGATCCGGGTGTCATTCCTGGCTTTTCCACCAACTTCCTGGGAATCCTTGGGCATGTAAACCATGACTAGCTATAGCACTTAAACAAATGCCTCATTTTTAAGCACATGAAGTCAACAGGTTGACTGAAAGGACTAAATTGTCACATGTCCCTAAATAAATTTTGCGCATCAGTTTTTCCTTCGCTGATAAAATAGAACTAACGGTTGTGAGCTGAATTTTTTAAACTGCTTTCAGTTCCACAGATAAAAATGCTACAGGGAAACAGTACTACTCCCACTGTCCATACCTACACATCCAAATGTGAAGAATTGCAAATTTCCTCTAAACAAATGACAGTCTATGTGAGAGAGTTTCAATACGTAAGTGTAATCTTATGTAATCTGCGTGTTTAAACCCCACCATGACATTCAGCCCTTTTCTGAAGTCTGTGGCCTCCTCAGCCTGCCTGGCTGTAAGGCAGACAGCAGAGGCAAACATCATTCTTATCTCTGCTACCATTAACCCCAATGTTGCCTGCGTTACTTCAGCCACGTATGGTTTTGCTTGTGCTCCCCATGACCCTGTTCAAACATACCCCTAAAACTGTAGCACAAAGTACACAGACTATTTCAAACATTCTTCTGCTCAAAGTACTTTTGAGGTGGGGTGGATTGAAAAGGTTGATGCAGATACTGGCAAGACAAAACAGTTCCATGAGCAGCAATACATATCAGACCAGATTTCTTATGAATTTGTGTTAATTCATCATTTCCACCTCCCCCTCGCATACTGACTTACGGTATTTTCCATCGCCTTCTGCATATACCCATAACTGCCAGCTCTACCCTGCCCCGCCAATCTTTTAGCAGCAATACTAGACCAAAGCACTCGGAAGTTCTAAGGGAGAGACGTATACAGACTGACTGCATTAAACCTGTTTTCAATAGGAAATCGTGCGGAAAAACATGAAGATGGTTTACACACAAACACACACAGGGAGGACTACAGGTCAAAAGACAGCCTGAATCACACAGTCTGATACAGGATTTTCCGTGCTAGCAGTGTCTTTTCCTTACAGAAAAAATTCTTAGAACAGAAACTTTTTATAGGGTAAAAAGAGTAATTACAGGGTTTCTTTCACACACTTGTCTGGTTTATGCTGCCTTTATCACCTTAGTGAGTGAGACACTGTCTGTGGGTTTGTCGTTACCAACACTTACACATACGCCAGGGTTGCACTGAAGTGCTTGTAAATGTAAGTTTCAAGTACAGGGTTGAAATGCTGGAACTTGATGTCTCCGATCAAAGAAATAATAAATACCTGCCAAAAATTCAAAAGGAAACAGATGTACAAAGCCGCACAATCTTCAACTCAAACATAACACAGTCTCTAATTGCATGACATTTATTTTGCTGGGCCATAGTTTTGTTTGTTTGTTTTTCTAATAGCATTAGTGCTACAGATAGTGTCATCCATATTCTAATAGTGACTAAATACTATGGTGTGTGCCACTACATCATTGCTCAGAGGCAAGGTAGGTCATAGCAGCTTTTAGATAGAAAATCTTAAGAGATGAAGGAAGCCACTTCTCAAAGCAACAACGGCGATACAGGAAGTAGCACTACTCACAGTCTTTACATGACATTGTCATAGCACAGGTTAAATAGGCACAGAGGTGCTGAAGGCCATTTTTCAGAGCTAGGAAACGATGCTTTTCAAGCTAGAACTTGAGATTCTCATGATTTATACTCAGAGCAAACACTCAGTCTTGTTACTACAATGACATATATTAGAGTCAGGACATTCTGTCCCCCTATATTCACTCCTCTGACCAATGTCAGCTGGATACATCCGACTTCATATTTCTTCCTGAGCTGTCAAGTACGTATCTGTTGATCAGCATGAAGCACGCAGCTTTGTTACTGCACTGCATACCAAAGCCAGTGCCTTTCACATACATACTAAGCAGTCTCTCCAAAGATGCAGAAAACTCCTTGTAAAGTCTTTTAGTCCGTCATTACAAGCCTTCTATAAAGGTTCAGAGGAGCAGTCAATCCCTACTGCCCAAGTACTGGGCTAGGATTTAGGGTGCACAGGCTCTATTCCCACCACAGCCACAAATCCTCCACCATCATGACCCTGAACAAATCATTTCACTTTGTGTTTCAGATAGATAACATGGCTTTTCTCTGCTGTAAATTGCCTCAATGCAAAAAGTTATCTGAAGAAATTACTATAAATTATGAAAATGTTTATTACTGTTTTCACTGTAGTTACTAAAAAGCTCAATGTGTATACCAGTCCTAGCTCCTTAAAATGCCTTAAGAAGTGTTTAAACATAATTTATTTCTCAGAGCAAAACATCAATCACTCATCTAAAGGAAGCACCAGGAATAGACTGAAAATATGGCTGAGAAACAAATACTCTAAATCCACAAAAGAATACTCACTCACCAGTGCATCAAACACAAGGAAGTCATAGGTTTCATTTTCTGACATTTCCATCATTATGTTGAAAAGTGCATCAAGGGTGTCTTGCAAAAACTAGAGAGGGAAAAAAAATAGTAAAAGGGTGGGAAAAGATGACTACTTCTGGAATCCTGCACAAGAACCTACACTTTTGGACCATTTTTCCCTTCCAGTCTAGCCCAATTTAACTGTAACGGCTGTCCATGAAAGAACATTTAAAAAGTGATCTTAGTCCTGTATTCATTCACATGCTTGTCATGATCATCATGCTACTCTCCCTCACTACAGCAAGGAGGATCTTTTCTTATCAGCTCTGAATGGCCCTACTTTCCTGTTCTATTGCCTTTTTATCTAGCAAGAGACCTACTGAATACGCCTAATTCTGTCCATATAGTTTAAGCTTCCACTGGACCAAATCAACCACAAACACTGTCCTAAAGCGTGACATTTTACGTAAACACTGGTTTGCAATGACGCAGCATTTACTTTAGCTGTTCAGCAGTTAAGTAAAACCATGACCGTGCATAATCCCAAAAGATCCACACTTGGAATATCGCAGGAAGTCTTACCTCCTAAATCCTGCAGCAGACTACATTACAGGTTTATTCCCCATGGTACTCTGACTATAAGCTCTTCGGGATTTCTCTGCACCCTGTTCCTAGATCCACAGCAAGTACCTATGCACAAAAGGAGCCCCAGAGCCACTACTGAAAATTAAAAGTTAGGCTTCAAATGTGTCTTCTATTTTGTAAGGATACAAGGGAAAATAAAGTCACCACTATCTCCCTGATCCTGGTAACATTTAACTTGTATAACTTTGGTGAATCCCACCAACAAGAGGTCTTGGGACAAAGCATAACTTTTGTTCTCCTGTTGCTCAGAGCTAGAACAGCCCTTCTAGCCTATATAGAAAGCTTTTGGGTACAACACAATTACAACCCTTCAAGGTCAGTATCAAGCACATACTAAGTGACTGCGTAACAAGGAGACTCAAATCTCTAGGCATACCTTTACAATTTCTCCTCCTTCCACCTCCATTAGCTTCCGAAGGTTGTGAGCTATGTTCTGAGAGTTAGAACGCCAGTTCAACAAACCCAGCAGGTCAACTAGCAAGGACAGAACATCAGCAATTAGAAACAGATTACAACACCACAGCTGACTTAATGGCTGCAGAACAATACAGAACAAGTACTAGAGGTTATTTTTAGAATCAGCTTACAAGGAAAAGTCACACCGATGTATAGAATATTACCTTGAGATGGTTCTTTTGTCTTGGCAAAAAAGATAAGTTTTGCTATGAATGGAAACCTCAGCGTAATTTGATAACGCAGGGAATGTGGTAGGCAATTTTGCAGGCTTCTCATTCACTCAAGAGAAGGTACCTCAAGCGAGGAATTTTATTGGAGTGCATGACTTTTCTTACTAATGCTTGTATTTACTTTAGAGCAGCCTCTTGGAGATGGTTCTTAAAGTTAACACTGAAACCTCTTGTATAAATGACATTAAGCTGCAGAGCTGTTTATCACAGTTCTGGGACATCCCAGGACCTTAAGTCTAGTTACAAACTACAGCTGAGGCTTTCAAAGGAGTCTGGCAAGTTTCATATACATCTTCCATGTTAATGAAATATGTACACATCATCTCTGTTCTGAAACTAAATTCATTTACTACCTTCAGATGTAAGAACACACGTGAAACTTAACAAAGAATGCCACATTCAGAAACAGAGGTTACATGCAGAAGGGTGGAAAGATGCAAATGTGCTTGGCCTCCGCATCAGACAGGACAATGAAAGCCAGATTCAGTCCACATGCACTTGGGTCTATCAGTATGGCATTTAACTTTAACTGGCCAAGCTCAAACTGTGAGCAGAACAGCTCGTGCCCATCTCCCAGCAGCTACACAGGTACACCTTGATGGAGCCGCAGCTGGTGGTGTTTTCACATTTTCACATGCTTCTTTCCCAAAGTCAGAGAGTATGTTGTACCAAGAGCCTTCCACAGCTACCGGAAATCTCACATCATTTACCAGCACATACTGTATTCATTCACATATATACATCATTCTTCATTTTGGTCACTTTAGCAGCATGCAAAGCAGAGTTTATGCATGACAGCATCCTGAAGAGTTCAGTTCTAATTGCTGCATTCTTAACAGGTAGAGGAAAGAAGATAATTAACCTTAAACATTTATGATTCTGAAAACACATACCTATACACTATCACTGACGAGTGCCATTTCTATACATGCCAACAAACCTGTTCCATTTATACCATTGGTAGTTTGGATAAAATATTCACGTTCCATGCTCTTTAGTGGCGGAGCAAACATCTTTGTAGCTTGTACTGGTAACAATGCCGGGATTATGCTGCCATTGACACCCGAAATAGTAAGATTAAAGCTAAAGCACTATGCCCACACATGCTGCAATGCCAAAAAATTTGTGTAAAGAAAGTGCTCTCTAATTCAAATGTGTAGTATGATACGACTAAGCTGCTAACTCAAGACCTACCATTCTGGGTAAGTTTGGTGGAACAGATCAAAGTGGCAATCTGGAAGCTGTCTTTTGTACTGTCTTTAGTGGGTGTGAAGTTGGCTAGATGGTGCAGACTTTTCCCCGGGGGGGCCTCCTTCTCCTCTATCTCCATTTTCGTACAAGGAAGAGTTAAATAGCATTTAGCATCTTCCATTTTCTTGTTATCACCCTGTTGGTTGAACAAAGCAAAGACAAGGGTTATATCACACTGAGCACACCTCATCTGACCTCTTGCAGCTCTCATCTGCAGACATACTTCAACACGGTGACAGCCAGAGGCCTTTAAACACCTATAGTTGCTCACTCACGTGGTTTGTTTACGCCTCTAACATTAGGGAATAGAAGCTGCCCATACTGCCAATTAACTAAGTTCTTTCCAGAGTGATTCAAGCCACAGAGTTTAGGAGCCGCCTTCTCCTCTCCTCTGACTTTGTGGTTTTCTACTGCAATGCATTAACTTTTTCCTCTTACTGTGATTAAAGGCACCAGGTCTCTCTTCCCATCACACATTGATCCTCCAAAGCAGGTGTTCACCACGTCTGTTTGCTGCATGCTGTCTAGGTGAATGATGTCAGAGGAAAAAAGCTCTATACAGATACCTACAAGGATGTACCAGATCTGCGTACTTGCAGTCAGAAAACCCACCAGTGAAAGCAGAGCTGAGGGTGACTTATTAAAAAAAAAAATAAAAAAATTACTGTCCTATTATCCTAGAAAAGTTATTTAAAATCTCTACAATGACCGTGTTTACATTGCTAGGAAAAATATCAGCCAGCAGGGTTGTTTTGATTAGTTAAACAGAAGTGAAGACTGCAAATGTCCAACCTACCTTATAAACAATCAAATTGTGTTTGCCATCTTGCAGTGTTGTTCCATCTGCGTTCATCAACTTCACAAAGCCCATGCCAAAAGCTCTCTCAGACTTATCCCTAGCTGCAAATAGAAAGAAAAAACTTTATGAGGAATTGTCTTTCTTATGCCCATACTATCCATAATGCAGCCCTCTAACTACGTGCAGCTTCTTCTCTGTTTAATAGCATCACATGAAAATGCGATGGAGCTAGCAAACTCTGTGATCCACAGTAGAAAGAGCTCTCTTCCTTTCCATCTCATCTCAAGGTACTTCGTAGTTATCTGTGATTACACAGAAAAACATCCTCTCTGAAGCATCTCTCACCACACAGTTTTAGTGGTTAACTGTGCTGCTAGATGGATATATATAATTGTAGAGATATTTTGGTTGGGATTTTGCAAATCTGCTTGTGAGGTATGGGTGTGGAATGATGTCATTGCATCTGCCAGGTACCTTAAGAGAATTTTTTTTGAGAGTCTTTGAAGGGCTTAGTTGATCACATTACTGATCTTGTTTCAGGGCTCTGAAATAGTTTGATGAAACTTCTGGCTCTTTCTCATTAGCCTTTCATTAAACCTAATTAGAAATTCTCCTATAGGAATACCATTAGAAGCCCACCAGGCCTTGCACTGAATTTTGTGAAGTGAAAACACCACCATACATTGAGAAGCCAAAACAGCAGTAAGCATGGACAATTTTCTTTCAAGGGGGATAACATGTTACTCCCTATCTAATTTCAGTTTTAGAACAAAACCAGCAGTAAGCCTTTTTTAAGACTGTAAAAAGTTTGAATTATTTTTCATTTCTTGCAAGAAAATCCACAACACTGGAAATAAGTAGAAATGCAAGCGCTATACCTCTGGTGGATACTCAGAAAATCTCACTGACAGTAGGAAGAGTACAGTACTCCTGCAGATCTTCTTTTCTGATACTTACATTCCTGTGACGACCGATGACGGAAAGTGAATCTTAAATGGCAACGGCTGACTTCTTCTATTGCAATGGACACCTGCACACGATAAGACAATGAAAAATGCAGCACCGGCATTCTCTATCTCCAGTCTATTTACAGGACATTCTGTTAGTGATGCACCTACTGATTTTAAATTAGTTCTGTTTTCTACACAAAGGAAGCAAGACTGTAAATCACACGCTCCTACCTTTACAGTTTCATACCAGCAAGGTTGCTTGACTTGATAATAGACAACAGACTTGTATTCGGAGACACCTTCATAACCAGCACCAGGATGGATAGCTTTCTTTGGACAAAAAGACAAGGGGGGGCGGGGGGGGGGGGGCGGACAGGGGGGGAGGAGAAAAGGTAAGGTCTAGAATGAAAGCAAGAAGTATCTTGGGTCAGAAATTTTGAGAGCATATAACTGTCAGAGTTACTCAAAGTCTACGCTTCACAGCCAAGGGAACTCAATGTGTGTCACCCCTTTGAAAGTTTTACAGAAAGATTTGCTCACATCTCTTATTAATTTAAAAACAAAATAATCAGTGAGTATTCAAATCACCTATAGTATCTCTTGTTCATTATCACACAGTTCTTGCATACAGTTGATAAATTGGATCCTATGGACCGGAGCTATCATCTAACAAATACAGCAGCCTTGTGACCTCCTGCAAAGGTCATCATACCTCTTGAAGATTTCCATCTTCATCATGTACAGACATGGTGACTTCTACGTTCTTGGGAGTCTTCTTCTTCCCTTTGTCAAACTCCCCTTGTATCAGGGTGACATAGATATCATTTCGAATATCACCTAAAATTCATAGCGCTTAATGAGTTCTTTTTCTCATACAGTTTTACAGGTTAACATTTAACATCACATTATCCTTATCTTCTTAGCCTCTACTGATACCAGCTAATTAATTACAACCAACATCACATCTTTTCATCTTAATCTCAAATTATACAGAATCTTTTAAAATGTACCATTCTCCTTTTTACAAACTTCTGTCTTCATGTAATTTTTTTTTTAAAGTAGTGAGCTCTAGAGGGCTAAATCCACTTTGAATGGATTAAATAGAGCAGGGTTAAACCTATATGCAACAAAAATGTCTCTGACTAGACAGAAATTTTCTTCCAAAAGTACACACACTATCATTTTTCAATGTAAGAAAGGAAGCTTATGTTTTCACTTCTTTGACAAAAATTAAAAGATTGGCTGGAAAATTCAAGAAAAATGAAAACAAGTTTTCAGATAGCTTTAAAATAAATCTGTTCATAGCAGAAATTCTGCAATTTCAACTGGCTCTTTCACTTTGTGGAAGTGTAGAGGCATATGGGACCTACCAGGAAGGATTATCTCAGGGAATCCCATTTTGCGAGCCACAGCAGTTGATCTGTCTACAAGGTGAGAAAAATCCTTTTGAACCTGAGCTAAATCACCAGGAAGCAGTTTCAGGGAGACCCAAAGACCTAAGAAAAGAAAGGTAATACTTGTTTACTGAAAAATATGAAAACACGAAACAGAAAACTGTTTCTTCATGTGATCTCCATGCAACAATGCCTTAAATATCCCAAGCTGGTTCTCACTTGTCTTATTCAGCATTAGGAGATAGAGAACTGGGCCTTACTGGGTAAGTAGATTCTTTAAGTAAAATACAAACTTTCTGAGATGAACCTGCTAGTGTATTTGAGTAAAGGCCAGACACATAAGCAAGAGCAGAAGAATCCTGAATAATGCAGTTTAAACCCAAAGCCATTCATAATACACAATCAGCCATGTTCGCCTAAAAATATTTTACGTTCATATAAAGAGCTTCATCTTAAAAATACCACATTACTAGCAAATAAGTCATCAGCTAGAGAAGCTCTTTCCTTGCAAGTAAGAACAGCTCCTGTTTTTTATCTTTTTTTTTTAAGCTCCCAATGTGCTGGGTTGACTATTGTTACAAAGACCGTATGTTTGGCTCAGGGAAGGTAGAAAACTCCAGTAAGCCTTGATCTCTGGACTTTCACAAGCCATTTACTTTCCTTTGTAAGCAAGGGGAACCTTTCCCTGCACCAGATTTTTGCATTAGCTTCTCACTCAACTGCTGTACCTTGCCCTTTATGATTCACTTCCTTTGCAGCGATGACTTTGTTGAAGACAGAAGTGAGGGGCTCATTTTCTCCGATCACATGGGAAGTTATCAGTGGGGACATGATTAGCTGTCGCTGTCTGATATATGTTTCCATGGCAATCCTGAGAACAACAACAATAGAGACCAGGAAGCAGACAGACTAACATCAAATGTGCTCTGCAAGAAAAGGGCTGGCCAACAGCTAACTGTTTTCAAAAGAAATATTTATTTTTTTAAAAAAAGTTTCCATGGGAATTTTTCACCTGCACAAACCCAATGGGAATACATTTAAACCTTCAAACTAGGAAATACATCCCAGTGTTAGCTCAGGATAAGTAGGGGATTCTACTATCCTACTTAGGATAAGTAACACTGACCTAAAGACTCCATTTGTATCATACTGAAATAGCAGCCTTCAGGACAACCATAAACATAGCCAGCTCTACCTTGTTTTTCTTTTCCATCCACAGACTGACTGCCTTGCAGACCTGTGAGAACAAGTCCAGCCACGGGCTGCCACGCAGGAACGGCTCAGCACATAGAGCCCTGCACTCCCATCAGGTGAGCTGAGCCCTGTCTTCAGGTGTGCCTCAGAGCTGTCCCTAAGAGACTATATAGATTAACCAGGGATACATTAACATAACGAATGACTTCTGTGAGATCACACGACTGATAAACCTATCCCTAGCCACAAACACGTCTATTGAGCTTTGGATCTCAAACCCAACTTCACTCCTGTACCCACACCATCAATAAGGAACCAAAGCACATACAAAACCATGTCTCCACAGGCTCGCCATCCTTGTAGAAGCGTCCAGATTTGGATCTAAACTCAGCCTCATTAGAACAGAAGAAAAATGGGGGAAAAAAAAAAAAAAATAAAAGGGTAGCAGACTGACATTATTCTGCAAAGGAAAAGATATCCTTCTTTGTAGCCTTTCAGGTCCTGAAAGGGTAGGGGAAAGAGGAAAAAAAAAACAACCCAAGAACAAACAACTAAAAAAAACCCACCACAAACCAAAACAAAACCCCACACAATCTCCCCTGAAAATACCTTTTAATAACATATGGCTACACCAAATGGTTTGCTATATTTAAGACTCTAACAACATGGCTGAGTCTACCCAAACAAGCTTCATTTTAGGCACTGTAATGTGCTGAAAAAGCAAGCAATCAGAGAGCAAGCAAAACATACAAGCCTAACTAGCAACACAGAAATGCAAAACACACAGGGGCTTAAATTTCTTTCCCAGAAAGAGGGAGAAATCCCTTTCCTGTTGTCCTCTGACTCACCCTTACAAGGTAATCTGGAAAGTTAAGAGGCAGACAACGCAGAGGTACCACACAATAGTGGCAAGGAGGAGTTGTGTTCTCTGCTCAGCTGTTTCTGAAAATCTTGCCCCTCAACCCTCTAACAGTTTTGAAGGTCACATTCCCCAGACCCCACAACATTATTCTGCACTGTGCTCTTTCTTACCTCAGATGATACGCATACCTAACAATTTCAGCTGCACTGCCAAAACTCCCTGAGCAATTTAGCCTATTACACGGACATGTAAACCAAGGGGAACAAAGGCTTCAGAGAACTGACAAAAATCTTTTCCTTCAAAGAGCTGACTACTGCCATAAACTAATCTATTTGTAAAGACCTTGGTGCACTGCCAGGCTCCCATACAAACTTGTCCTTCTCCAAAGGACAACTGCTTTAAATAAGCCAGATATGTGCTGAACTCTGAAGTCCAGTACTTACTGCTGAAACGGAATAAAATGTTGCTTTTCCTCATCGTCCACCTTTCCATGTATGATATCAGTTATGTCCATCACTGCAACGACACAAGTTCCTCACATAGTTTTGCCACATTGCTAAAGAATACAGAGAGAACTTTCCCCTGTCAGAATGGAAGCAACAGTTGCTTATTTTGGGCCAATGCCACTCATGACAGCCATAGAGAGCACCACTCTCATCTTAACTTTTTAAAAAGCATCTTTTCATTGATGTGTAAGTCAGTCTATGGTGACTATATGTAAATACACTTCCTCATAAAAACCAGGTGGGACTCAGGCATTTCAAGGCAAAGAAATTACACTTAAATTTCAAATGTTGATTATTTTGAAATTGTTTTCTACCACAAATTTCAAGGAAGCCTCTTCACAAGAGGTCACGGGAATTGAATGTCTCATTCACCAAGGTTCCTTTAAAAACTCTAGCTTTATCCCATTAGTCATGAGGAGCAAATGCCTCTTTAATAAAGATCTGAAAAGTCTACTGCGCTGATGGCAGTGTGTTATCTTTTTAGGGGTTGACTAAACAAAAAGTGAACAGTAACAGTATTTCATCTTCATACACAACTTTCATTAAAAAGTCTCAAAGGGGTACTACATACAGCTCAGTATCAACATCTCCATTTTGAAGCCAAAGATGTTGACACTAAGAGGTTAGTAAGGCTTTGCTGACATACAGCATATATTTCCCAATTCCTAGCCCACTGTCCCAGCCACTGGGCTGTGCTATTTTCTCCATTGATTGAATCTGTCATACCTGCCACACCAAAGGGCCTCCGGAGTCCACAGGTATGTTTCTTCCCATCTTTCAGCTCCATATGCCCCACCCTCACAATCTGACACACCAAGCTGATTTTCGGTCTGATCAAATCAGAACTGCTTAAATCCTAGAAATTATTTAAAACAAAGTTAAATCAATCTGCTTTATGAAGAGAAGACGACAGAGAGAGTAAGACTTCTTTGTGAGATTGTACACAGATAAAAGGAGATCTATTATTCTTAAAAAGTTCTTTTTTTTAAAAGTAAAACCTGCTCCCTTTGAGCCCTAGGGAGAAAAAAACCAAATAAATAAATAACAACCAACTCTAACTAAAAAACACTAGCAATTTCCACACAGCAATTTCTAAACATCCCAGTAGTCTTTGATAACACACCCCAGCAACAGTACTGGAAGGAGTGTAAATGATGGTAGTTGCCAAAGTACTAGATCCTGATGACCAGGCAGTTAGTTTGTGCCACCTTTGCTAGTTGTCAGAAGTTATTCCAGTCATGTGCAATTCTTCCATTAACATCTTGTTGCAAATAACAAACTCCAACACAGAAAAGAATCAGCAAAGCAATGAACTGAAAAACAAACAACTATGATCTCAAGCCTAGATTTTCAGTACAGTTAGGTTCCAACAGAGATGTGCTTAATAGAATTTTCAGAAATGCATGGGTGAGTAACACCCACTGACAGTACTACTGCAAAACAACACACCTTTACTACTGCTTTGGACTGCCATACAAAAAAAAAAAACCCAACTTTTCAACAGTATTCCTCTGAGGCTGCCTATAACATCTTAAGTGTCCACGAAAACACCCCAAAATGCCACATGTGACCCTTCCTTGCTGCATGGGGAGAGGAGGGGGAGAGGGAAAGAACCCAAAACTCGTATGTCTGCAGCATGGGAAAGTATTTCCAGGATGTGAAGACCATAACTTACTGTAAAGACTGCTTGAAGGTTATTCAGTTTCTCAATTTCTTTAGGCATCCCATTACTGCCCCAACGAACCAGGTAATTTTCACTGCAAATAAAGGGAGAAAAAAAAAAAAAATCAGCACCTGACATTCCCATTGCCTGGCAAAAGCTCAAAAACATTTTGATCTTTTAGGAATATTTGAAAAATGCTGCCAGAACCTTCTATCCCAACGTGATTCTCAAGTGACTCATTTCAGTGAAGGCACAAGGCAGGCATGATGTGAATGAGTATACCCTGTAACTTCCGTGTACAACTCTGACTGCATGACCACAACTGATAATTTCAATGATGGAGACAAAGGGTGCCTGACACATACACGCTTCCTTGATAAAGTTCTTCATATCTTCCCCTAACAGTATAAGATGCCCAACTCTTAGGTGTGAACTTGCACTGACTTGAAAGCAAACATCATGCATATACATGATTCAATGGGAAGCAATTAATTAGATGCATCAATTCTAGTGACAACAGTAGGGAAAATCAAGAACATAAAAAGACAATCCGGGATTTTGACTAATGTATTGCAGAAATGCCCAGCTTTAAGAAGGGGAGTGCATGGGCTCAGAACCTATACTTCCTGTCTCATCTGAAATTAAATAACCCCCTTCCAAATCACCACTGGGGCACCAAAAAACAGAGCTGAAAATCTTATCTGCTGCATCTTCCTTTCTAACCTCTACTGGTTTCTTTAGAATGACCACCACGATGACTAAATTGCTTATGCATTTACAAAAAAAACCCTACCTGATGAATTTGGAGAGATCAGGATCATAGAGGCTCATTAACAGTTCTGCATCTTCTCCAATATTGCAGACAAAATTCTTGAAGTTTACATACAGGCTATAGGTATGTGTTGTGTTGAATATTGGTTGCCCTCGGAGGTCCAAATTCTGTTGCAGGGACTGCAAAGAAGGAGAGTATTTCCATTAAAAACAAACACAAATGAATTTAGTTCTGCTGCCAAAGTAGCACAACATCCTTAAGAGGAACGTAAAAATACAGTGGGTACCAGTCACTTGACGAGGACAAAGCCAGGGACAAGAAATGTACCTTCTCTTCCTGGATCCTTTCGTCAATCCTTTTGGATGCAGTTTCATGGGACTTGAAGAGAGAGATTGTGCTGGTTTCATCTGGGTCCAAGATGTTCCCATTGTCATCCCGTACAACGAGGTCCAAACCTAGGATCCTGAACAGGTTGCAAGTCAGAAGCCAACAGAAACAAAACAATATGTAAGAAGCAAAGGTAACAGAAAGAGCACAAACCACAGATCAAACTGTGACCTGCACTAGGCAGCCAAGGCACCCCAACTCCATTCCCTATAATAATCACATTGCTGGTTTTCCTGTCTCGAAATACTCATCCCCCATTTTCCCATTAAAGGGAAACATAATTAGTCAGGTAACTTAATTCTAAGACGAATTTTGCTCTTGTTTAAAGTTTTTTTTTTTTAAAAACAGTATGCTTATCTATCAAGCTTATGGATCATGGCTGATTATTATTCTTTGCCATAAGTTTTCTTCTTAATTGACTTATTTGACCTGAATAGAGCCTGACAGGCAGATAAATGAGTTCTGGAGACAATCCCTGTTCTGTACAAACCAATGAAAGGTGGAGTTTTGGTGGCCTATAGAATCGTACTACTCAGTTGCTGATAAAGCAGTTTATTTCATCACCAGCATCCAAATCCTGGCTCCAGCTAGCCAGGTACAAATTGTGCTCCATGGGAAATGCCATCATGTGCCAGCATTTATGCAGAATTAAGACAGGTAAGGTTTCCTGCCAAGTCAAAGAGATTGCTGGCATATGAAGAACCAACTGCTACATGCCCACCTGCCAGACAGACACATTGTGACAGGGGATTGAAAGCTGTAACTATCCCCTTTCCAAGGAAAAATGTAAGCCTAATTCAGTGTTCCTCTTGCGTGGTCATTTACACCGTTTTGTATTAATAGCCACCTACAGCCTTTACTGTAACTTGGAATCCTCCCTTGCCGTCAAGGCATAGTTTGGAGTTTACCTGTTGCCGTAGTCAATCTTAGCAGTGACTTTCTTCTTGAGCTCAGCTAGCTCATCTTTGGGAAGAGTTCCAGACAGTATCTGTGACCGCCATTCTATCAGGCTGTAAGTCATTTGTTGGACATGTCGAAACTGTGTTGTCTTGTTATCCTCCAGGAAAAAAGGGACAATTTTAAGCTAGTGATAGCCTGAAAACAATGAGCTCAGCAAGCCTTCTGAAATGTACTCAATTGAATCTATCATACAAGCTGTATTTAACTAACAATATCTGAGAAACTGGCACTATATGACACTACAAGATTAGGTCCACAGAACAAATCCTCCAGTACTTTGCACTGCCAAGGTTTAAGTGTCTCAAGATTCGGGGTCTTCACCTTTTCCTCAGGATATTATTTCAGAAAAAACTCACAGACAAAAAACAGACTTCTGGTGTTTTCCAGCACTTCAAAACTGTTATGATGGATGCTTTTTACATACAGGACAGAGATGATGTTAAATGACCGCAATTGTGTTCTAGCAGATTGAGACAGGAATGCCATCTTAATATACAAAGGTTCTTGCTCTCTACCTCTGCCACTCTCAGAATGTATGACATTCAGCAAATCATTTTTTACGCATGTTTCCCATTTGTTTTGCCTATTTAGATTGTAAGACTCTGAGGCAAAAGCTTTATTTGCTTTTAAAAGTACAAAAGTGATACCAAAACATAAATAATGACAGATGACCAACACTGTAGCCCACATAGGCTTTTTCTCATGTCTTTTCCTCCTACAGCTTTAACCAGCCCAAAGAATTCTTCAGCCTCTTTGTTATGTATAAAAAGGCCTCATCACCCAAATACAACACTACCAACATGAACAACATGGTTAATTGGAATCTCTGCCCTCACTGCTGTTTACAGCGTCAGCAACTATGTTTTAAAGCCAAAACACTAAGCAAATTGAATCCATGGACTCATTTTCACAACTGCCTGGTCTCTTATCCTGTCCCATCATACTCTCAAAATCTATTACGTTAAAAAAAGGAATAACAACAAAATGCAGCGATAACTGGGATACACCGCTTCCCAGCCAGTATGTATATTGTATTTCAAGGTTCATATTCTACCGACTGGTAACTCACACTTGGATTGCTGTGTCCATGTGTGATCTCCAGACAAGAGTTTCACAGAAATCAGAGTAGCTCTGTGGAAACACAGTAACCTAGTGTTTATCAGCAAATAAGGCTGAAGATTATATGCTCTTCAGAGCACTCATTTGTGTTTACATTTGTACAGAACTTAATGCAACGCAGTCTTGATTCATCCCATGCTTTAAAGCACTACCCCAGCAGTAGTTGCTCAGAACCTATCACGCCAAAGGTTGTCCAAAAAAATGCAGTAAAAAGATAACATGACTGGATTCGCAGGCACCACCTCCCCAATCTACCCAGGCACTCGCTCATGTTTGCTGCAGTCATTGCATTTTCATTTTTTGCTGTGAATGCAGGATCTGTAGTTATAAAGCACTGACTGCAGAGGACATCAAAATCTGCTTTGTGAAGAGTTTCTTCCTGCGATTTCTACTGTTATCTTTAATTAATGAAAATACTTCTCATGCTATTCACTGGTTCTACCCTAACAAAATTAGACACGCATCTATATACCTCTTTCCTATAGTTTCAGGCTCCAAGGCCGATGCCGTAATTAAAGCATGGATAGCTATGTGGTAACCTACCATATTTGTAGCAATATGCACTTAGGTAAGTAATTAAGCCTTTAAAAGTGTCAGCTAAACCATTTATACCATTCAAAAGGGAACCCAGACCTCATCCTCTCTTTATCACTGCACAGCGAGCCAGTTACTAGGATGATTCTGACTTGCACTGAGTGCCAAGTGCAGCTCATTTTCAAAGGGAAGTACCACAAATTAAAGGATATTAAACTTTCATCTACTGGGATAACATTTATGATTATGCAGCTCCAAAATAACCGTCAAGAGGTTTTTGACTACATCTTATCCAACACCTAGTGGGAATCAGCCAATGGTATATTGCTGGTACATTCAGACAGCAGCTGAGTAGCATCAGTTCTCTGTATCAAAGATGTTAATGTTTAACTATGAACCCCAACTGCTCCCACACAGCAGAAAGAGAGACTCATTTCAATTATTTCCCCATTACAGTCTCTGCTAAGAACATGAATGATATAAACTACTCATAATTTGCCTCCTGAGAACACAAACCTAGTGGGAGTTATAAATAGCCATCTTTCTTTTGATTTGGGTGAATGCGAAGGGACTGACAGAAGCTAGATGAGTCTTTTAGTGCCTATAGGAAAGACACTAGAGACATACTTAGTAAACAAAGTGTAAAAAAAAGTGTGTTACTAACTTGCATAAAAGTAATGGCAAAGAGAAGGCAACTTGTGTTAGCTTTCAGCGAAACATAGAGCAGATCTCAGTTTGACAGCTAAAGTGGCATTATCTCCACAGCTGTTTACATTAGCTAACTCCTATTAACTAAACAAAGTTAAAAACTCTCACTCATTTTTATATTTATTTTGGAGTGGAGATATACCCACTGGTGCAATGCTTGCTGAAAAACACAGAAATTAAAGAAGTGAAATGAAATGCTGCCAAAGAAAAAAATCCCCTGTATTTCCTTTTTCTCCTCAAATATCTCCTTCCTCCTTTAGTGCTTTTTTTTTTCTTTTTATACATACTGCAGGGGAAAATAAAATAAGCTCAAATCCATTTCAAACCACAACGTTTTCCAAGACTATTTTAAGACTTACATTGGTTAAGCACAGGAACATAAAAGATTTCTGCTCTTAAGAAAAATAGATTCTGAGGCTAAGATCCTAAAGTTATTCAGGAAAAAAAAAAAAGCCAGGAACAAGACTCTCTTTTCACACAGTAATACCGGCACATACTGCTTCTCGTTAAATTAAGAGAGCGGAACAAATTCTTGTGGTTTCGTGGTGCACAACCAAAACGTACTTGTGGCCTGGCGAAATTTTCAATAGGAAGCTTGCTCTGGGTAAACTGAATCGTTAGAGCTAATTTAAAACCATTCTCTCATCTTAATTAAAGTCTCAGAACACATACTATGCAGGCTGAACTCACTACTAACTGAAGAAAAATCAAGTTTGACTCTCTTCAATGTACCTTAATAATCACCTTCGAGAGAATGCAATTCATTGTGACTCCAGTTGTGTTTCTTTGTGCAAGAATGCACCTACCTCAGCAAAATCACCAAATCCACACATTACCTTAGCTTCTTACTTTTCTGAGGTGACTATCATATGGTCAGGCTACTAAACAGATTTAGTAGATGAGAGGTCTCTCCCCGGCCCTACCGAGAACTAAATGTATTATGTGACTTCTGACAAGTCAAAACTTCCCCCACCCTAATGGCCCTAATTCTCTTCCCATCCTCTGTCTACCTTGCCTATTTGAGCTGTATGCACTCTGGGGTGAGGATCAGCCATTTTATTAAGTACAACACTTCTAGAGAAACAGACTTCACACTTGCTAAAGGTTCTGCTAAAACAACATCCCAGTTTCTCACACAGCTTTCCTGCACAACTAAGGTATCTTGCCCTCGTACAGGACAGACACAGGATAGGCAAAGCAGGAACTCTTATTTTATTAGTGAACTGTGACTCACACACACAGTCCCAACCAGCTGACATGATGCTGAGTGTGACTTGTGCCAGCCAATGCTCCATCAGTGCTGTATCATCACACAATTATTTAAGTACACTCAAGAACACCATAGTGTGGACTAAACCACAGTTCTGTCTGTGATCACACATCCCGTTCAGTGGAGAACAGAATATTTTTAGCCTTTCTTAAGACCAGTTTTACAATAACGATAGTTTTACAATTCTGCATAACATTCTATTCAAAGTCTTAAAGTGCCCTGCAAAAAGCCCACTCTCATCTCATCTGAGGTCATGTAATAAAATACCAACCACTGAAGAAAACTTACCACATATAACTTGTGCCAGATAACTGCCCACTCCCTCAGGGTAGAAGTGAGTTCTTGTCCAAGGGGCAATTCACTTGGAATCACTGTTTCATGTTGTCTAGAGATAAAAGGAGAAAATAGAAAAAAGTTGTTACCTTCAAGATTAAAACTTAGTACTAAACCATCCTTTTCTGGTAAATATGTAAACTGAAATTTCAGAGGGCTTGATATTCACACAATTCATTCACACCTGATGCCAAAATTCTTAAGTTGTTCAATTGGTTATCCAACACATACATGCAAATTCATTATCGATTTTTAATACAAACATGTTTCAAGTTTCTTTCAGTCTTGTTCTTCTCAATGGATCCATTCCAGAAACATGCTAAATAGACAGAAATTAAGTTTGGAAGAATCACCACTTGCAATGGTAACTTGGCCATAATTTTTTTTAAAAAAAAAAAAAAAAAAAAAGAAAAAAGAGTACTTTCTAAAGTCTCTTCCTTTGCAACTGCTATTTTCCTCTCACTATAATGAACACAGAATCAGCTCGAAGAATCAAATGAGGAGTCATTTCCTTAAATGTTTTCCAAGACAGGAAGGAATGCTGGCTACTTGGCTGCAAGCAGGAGTGTGTTATGACTTGCAGGAGTCCCCAGAGGAGCTAAATGTAGCTTGATTGACCTGCCTCACTACTAACTTGTCTAGCAGAGCTTTCTTATTTTTGCAAACAGTATTCTCCTGAACCTATGCTTACAACTGTTTTGGTATGTATAATGCTCTGAAAAAAAGAAGTTATGCAGCTCTAGAAGCCTAGCACAGCTGGTATGCTCTGCTGTGCACACAGACCAGTAGCATTCATTACAACCATCACTACTTAAGTAGTTTTTTTGTTTGTTTTTAAAATTAAACAGCATTCCATTGTTTTTGCTACCAAAAGTACATCTCCAGAAGTGCCAACCTACCCCCGGTCCTTCACGATTGCCTCTTTTAAATGGATATATGTTTCTGGAAAAATGCCCTAAAAATAAATACAGAAATAAAAATTAATAAATCACACCATAGGATATGACATGACAAAAATGTATACAACAGAAAGCAGGGGAAAGTGGTAAGAGCAGAACAGTAACTGTGGCTGATGTTTACTGTTTACCTATAACAGAAACATGTTAGGTCCACCAGTCCTGGTATCACAGCAAAAGACAACAAGGAGCATCAGGTTGCATGCTTGAGTGCTATATTTGATATTAGCACCTCAGAGAAGTCGATTCCCCATTTCACTGTAATAACACTCGTCTTCCTGTATGAAAAGTTGTAAACTCTTGCAAACTATCAGTCATACTCATTCACCCTTGCTACGAAATATTCTTGGAGTCATTCACCAAGTTGCCCTGGACCTGTGATTCTCTAGAAAAGCTCACAACACAGCAGCATTTGTAGAAATTCATCAGTCCCAAGTTTCCTTTAAGAGAAACCTTCTAGGAGTGCTGTAATCCTTTTCTATTTTCTTTTCATTCCCTTTTACATATGAAAAAAGGAGACTGAAGGATGTTACCATGAGAGGTTCCAGGATTCCGGTGGGAAACCAGATTTCCACGCAGTTTTCAGACTGGTTTCACAAACCTCAAAAAGTTTGGCCGAGATCCACGCATGCACGATCTCTGGAATATTTTCCAAGTCAAATCAAAACTCTAATCTTACCATTACATACAACTAATGCTGGATGTGCAGAGGTCCAAGACCACAATAATAAAGCAATACACTAGTGTATGCAGATATGCAACAGTCAATTTTGCTAGTTCAAACTACGTTATGCATGCTTACAATGGAGTTCTTACAATTACTCAGTTAATGGTTCTGAAACACTTAGCTTGAGGGCATTTATTTCTATCACTAAGGAAAAGGACATAGTGGTCAGGAGCCCTGCACAATATTAATACAAGAAATACAGCAGAATCATAGCAGATTACAGCACCGGATGGGGTCTGGCAAAGTGTGAAATAAAAACTGGAGTTACTGCAAAGTGAGGTCATACCTTCTTAGACTTATTTCGGAGTGTGTATCCTCGGTACCAGCCTGCCAAAGGGAAACACAAATATTTATATTTTCCCTGTCTACAGCAATTAAATACACATTGTCATTCTCACCACATTTCTACAACACAAATCTATTGATCTTGTTCATTTGAGATCTACTACTATGAAGATACCTCTGCTGTTTGCAGGAGGCTTGGTTCCTAAGAGTAGGGTAGAAGGGTGTCTCTTCCTACCACGAACTGACACCCTCACTTCTACTCTGCATATCCATTAAAGTTGTACTGACAGGGCTCAATGGAAAAATAGGTCATTTCGTGCTATACAGCTTGAAAGTGACAATCCTTGTTCCATAAAGCTTAGAAGTCCTATACACAGCACAGAACTACTGCTATGACCATTAGACAGATAAGGCACAGAGACACAGACATGCATGCAGAACTACCAGCCCAAGGTCATATACCGTGTATCTGGCAAAGAGAAATACATTCAAGTGTCCCAAGTCCAGTTCCACTCCATGCCTTTAAAATGTTCTTTTCTATGAAGTGCGTTTTCACCCCAATCATCTTACAGATTGTGCTTGAGTTTCACATTGTAGAGGTTCTTTATTTTCTTCTGTGACTCAGTCTAAAGCCTTCCTTCAAAGGAAGGCTCAAAGAGAATGTTTTATTAGACAAGGCAAAAAAAAAAATCCAACCCTGAACTGCTGAACTGCTTGCCCTGGTACAGATATTGTTTTCAATATTCTCTTGACAACATCTAGTAAAGTTTAAGATACAAAGTCGTAACTGTGATCCCCAAGACTAAGAAGCATATGTCACGTTCAGAGGTATGTTTCTTCTCTCTTCAGTACCTGGGATTGATCAGTATTTTGATTTCAAGGTCACTGAAATGCAAGTGTATGAAAAAACTACTGTATTTCTTATGTCCTCAAGTGAGCCTTGCTCGATGAGCAGACAGGAGAGAAGCATAGCTGTAGGCAAGTCACTCCCACTCTTCTTCCACGACCTCCAAACTGTGTGGGACAAAGGGTTTTTTTCTCTCCACCTTCACTTTCGTCATTTGCCTCGGCTATGTAACTGAAACTGACCCTACCTCTTCACAAACATGGAGGGTATAGATTATGGTCTATAAGGCATGAATGATGTTCAGAGCTATCAAGACAGACAACATCACTGATCCAAGAGGATTATGTTCAGCTGACTGGCAGAGGGAGCAGCATCAAGAAAGCAAAGGGATTTAAGAGAATAATCAGGCAAAGAAAAGAGGAGAGGAGGGTGGCTTTTTGGTTTTGTTTGTTTGCTTTTTTCTTTTTTTCTTTATATTTTTTCCCCCATATATTTATATATTTAGCAAAGAAGGTTCCATGAAGAACCATGGATCTGAGACCCCTCAATCATAAATTAGAGCTTAGGGTGGGATTTTCTTTGTTTTGTTGGCTTTTTGTGTGTGTGTGAGGTTTTTTTTTTAAGCATGGTTTTGTCCCTTTTCTCTAGCAATGAGAAGGTGAATTAGCTTGATCACATAAACCCAAATATTCCAGTAGTAAGTTAGGAGGAAAGAAGAAATTCCATTCCTTCCACAGGATGAAGATAAGATTATACATTGATCATGGACCAATGGATAAGGTAATGGATTAGGGATGAGAAGATTTAGGTTCTATTTTTATCTAAGTTGTAATTAATTGAATGCTCAAGTACAAGTTATTTAGGGTGTAATACAAAGCTCATGGAATTTAACAAGAATATTTGCCCAGTGATTTCAGTTCCACTTGACAGAGTCTCTCAGCTCTTCTATACCACAGCTTCCTCACATCTAAAATGGCCTCTTGGCATTAACCACATTCCTATAAAATATTTTGCAATGATTGCATAAAAGCATGATGTATATTATTACGCAAAACTATTTCAGCAAGCATCTCATACAATTTTTTCAGAATTCTGCTCGAATTTTCTCTAATCTTATCCATCATTTTAAAAGGAATAAAAGCTTTTGGCAGTGGTCAACTAATTACTTGATTTGGTCTTAAAAAAAAAAAGAAAAATCTGCCTAAAGCTTCAGAGGAATGACAGACTATTTAAGTGTTTCTCTTGAGTATCTTCCCCAACCAGAGATGTACTAAATGGAGAAAGGCTTTTCAGTTGAAGATGACACAGCAAATTTCAGCTACTACAACATTCTTTCAAACTGCAGTCTGATTAAGAACGCAAGGATAGCAGATTGAGGCTTACAAAGAAACATCATAAAGTTTGGGATTTGTTTTGGTTTTAAATGGAACACAGGTCCTCGATTCTACCTTTCATTAAACAGATTTTATGCAGTATGTAGAAGATTAGAAAACCTAAGAAAAATTATTCAAACTACAATAGTTTAGATGACAAAAAGTTATACACAGTGATGCAATCCCAGGTCACATGCTTAACCACAAGGTCTTTGTTCCTCTTCCACTGTAGTGTGCTGTCTCTCAGTACCACAACATACACCGCTGCACTGAAATAAAACAAGGGATTGCTTCATTTACCTACAGCGGTCAGAGGAAAGATGAAAGACCGAAACTAGGAACAAATCCAATGCAAACTTATTTTCACCAGGAGAAGAAACTGATCGGAATCACGGTATGTGGGCATACATTCCT